AAACTTTTAGAAGCCAGAACCACACGAACTCAAGTTTAAATAGCCGTAGCCCCACGGAGCTCAGGTTTGGTTGGTTTACTGTTTCCGAATAGCGTTTAACCGACCTAAACCCATTTTATCCGATTTCAAACCCGCTTAAAACGATTTTAGACCCAATTTCAGTTTCTAAACCATTTGTCGGGATTAATTAGAAAAATCCCCAAATTCACAAATTCAGAAGAACCCTAGAATTTGAAATCAAGAGAGAGTTCGAAATCAGTTTGAATCTCGATAGTGTGATAGATAATTCGAGTTTAGCATGGCTTTAGGTCCTCTAAATGATGGAGAAAGACTATAATTTGACGATGAAGAAGCCACAACCACAAAGAAGAAGAACTCGAGTATAAGAAAAGGGGGAAGAAGATGAGATCCAAAATCGATATCCTAAAGTAAAATAAGTAAGAAGATTATGGAATTTAGATAAAATCAACACACTAACAGCTAATTTCAGAAATTAGTGTTCAGCAGGATCGATTTGAGATTTTTTGCAAAATTCGATTTTAGGGTTCTTCAGTTTCTGAGTTTCTGATTTGGGACATTTCGACCTTTGTGTCGGGTTATAACGCTGGTATTTTTCGACTGTTGAGTCGGGTTAAAACATGGACTAACGGGTCTGGTTTTTCGAGATTCGGGTTTCTGTTTGGTTTACGGCCGGTTTTGGATGGTTTCATATCCGGGTTCAGATATTAAACCATCGCAATTGGGTTCGTGTGGTTCTGGCTTCTAAACGTTTACCTTGTGTGGTTGTGGCTTCTAAAAGTTTATATGGTGGGGTTATGGAACTAGGGCATACTTTGGGCCGCATCTGGTGCGACCCCCGTACTTCTGGTGGAGAAATAGATCGTCATCCCCATAAAAACACTTTGTCCTGAAATTTTAAAAGTAAAAAAATTTGTTAGAAACAATCTAACAATAAAAGAATAACTTATCTTCAAAAATTATAAAAAATAGAAAAAGACTTCATTACCATAGTATTATTTAAAGATATTTGATGAATTGTCGTTCATGAGTTTGTGAATGAGAAAAAAAAAAGACTTCATTAACTCTCTTTTTATAGGGGTTCACGTAACATATTTCATGCAGTTATAAGAAATTTAATTTACACTAGGGCTAACCCCGCGCGACGCGCGGGTTGTGACTATTTGTGACTATTACAAAGTTTTGTCATTTGTATATTAATTCTTAGGTTTGCAAACATGTCTCTAATATTTGTTCCAAATAGGTTAATTCACAGTGATAATATAAATGTATATTTTTCTTTATTTTGTCTAAAATCAAATTTTGCAAAATGTTAGAGCGTAAAATTTAATATCATATAGCAAAACACATATGGATTAAGTATGTTGTTTTAAGAAAGAAGAAATTGAGAATTTTCAATGCTACTCTTTTGGTCCGCATGCATGGATATAAGATTTTTTTTTATCAAACAATAAAAGCGATTCCTATTGTCTTTCCACATTGAATTAAGTGTCGTATTGGCTTATGCAAAAAACAGAGAGATGCACTGTTGTAGCTTCTTAAAGCTATGCAGTAGAAAGACTTAAACTATCTTTAATTTATATCCTCTCTCTTCAAGAAACTGGAATTTTCATTGTGGATTTTACATATACTTTGGGAATCTCTGATCGTCTTCTATGTCATGGCCGGAAACTCAAGTTTTGGGCGTCCATGTCAAAGCAATCAAATCCTTATACTCTAACATATGATAGTTTCATACCAAACTTCATTCTACCACAACCTCCTCGAACTCCTTTGTGAGGAGATGGAGATAGAGAATAGGGGAGAGTGATGTGATGAGTAGGATTGAGTTTCTCAGCTCCAAGCGTTGGCATCTTGAACTAACGGGGCCGCTGCTCTGGGATGCTCATACCGAAAGAGCAATACTCGTATTGAAGCTCCAAATGATTACTAATTCTTCCTATAGAGAAAGAAAAAGACAAGAATCACAGTTTATATCTGGAAGGTGAGAAGTTGCAGTTTCATTAGTAAGTTAGTTGATTATACATAAACATTTCCAAATTTTACAGATTTTAGTACTGCAACAACCACAATACAATTTAAATGATTTTCTGGATTAAGATGCACTGCTGTAATGGAAAAAAGTAAGAAATTGAGTACGATATGAACAATAAGAAAAACAACCACGTGAGAATTGTTATGTATCAGCGAACCTCATTGATGTCATGAGCCATCTTCTCGATTGTATCCAATCATTATGCTATGAAATCCAATCTTCGATCCTGCGACAACATTTAGACTCTTGCCTTTGGAAATCGTTCAATAGAATTAAAAACCTAATGATAAAAGGTAACTCAATCAATGAATTTCTCACCAAATCCAATCTTTGATCTTGCCTGAATCTCTAAAATAAACAAATGGATCCAAAAAACTTATCTCAGAAATTATAGAGGAGTCATATTTCTATGTCACTTTCATTTCACACCATCGAGTTTCATCAATAGAAATTAACAAATCTTTTTATAGACAAAGAAGCTTTGTTCTTATGAAAGCATACATTACGATTTTATCTGTTATCTAATAGATTTCACAGCGTACAGTAGTACGCTAACCTGAGAACCCTGCAACAATGATAGATATTACGACGATGCTTGAGAGAACTATATCGTTACCGCTCAAGCTGGTCGAACTCCTCATAATTCAGAGATTCTAAGTCCTTACCAAATATATTATTACTGCACCAAAAAAGACACGCACATAAACATGAATCAATATGCACATATAATTGTATGTATATACAAACAAATAGAAATACACATTTGTTGACGCTGAAGGTTCTCATATATATCAGTAATCTTCAAATTTGTGAACTTAAGGGACCAGTAAGATATGAGCTCTACCTCTACAGATTATATACACCATATGCATCAGCTGTGATACGATCACATGAGAAGGTAAAAGAGTGATAGCAAAACAGAGCACACCTAGAACACTTTTCTTAGATTATTTCATACAAATAACCTTATTGATGATATGGTATAAACCAGGAGAGGTCTGGTCATTTGATTGTATATCACAGATTATTCGTCTCCCTTTAAAATATCTTATATATAATAGGAGAATTGCTCTTTCCTCCTAGGCTATCCACATCAGCAACAAAATCATTAACTGTATTTAAGATGTTTAATATATGTATATTAATATTTCTTTATATATATTCCTATTTTACACATAAACAAAACTAAGAAAAATACACAAACAAATTAGGCTCTAGCTGGTAATGCTTAAAGGAACACAAGGAATAGAAATGAAAGGAATGAAGAGGAACAAAAAATATGGAACTTATTCCTTCTCATATTTATAAAGAATCATTTAACACTAAAATTCCTTAACCAATATGGAATGAGAAGGAATAATATGAAATGCACATTCTTTTTAAATGGTATAATTCTTAGGGAATGAGAGTGAATTTTCTTACTCCCCTTCATTCCATGGTCACCAGTTAAAGCTTTAATTAATTAATATAAAGTATATGATATCTTGATGTTAAAAGTCAAAATAAAATTGTAATATAAAATGGAGATGAAATAAAGAAATATTTAACTTAAAATAGTATATAGTTAGGTTTTAACTCAAATAATTTATCCTATTTGAAAATGTTATAATATGCTTACAAGTAAAAAAGGTACAATATAAATTATTTAACACAGTAAAAAGCTAATAAATAATTAGAGTTAGAGTTTGTTTTATTAAAAAATAGAAGTCGAGTTATTATTTAAATTTCATTGCAACGAAAAGTATGAAAATTTTAAAAATGGTAATATGTTTGTTCCAAAAATACAATTTATATTTCCATATAATCAATTGTCATATGCTACCACAACAAAGCATATATGTAAGAAGTTATACATGCATTTGTTTTTATCATATTTTGAGTGCGATTCTTCATCGTGTTTACAAATTTAAACGTTGAGTCAAATGCATATTAAGTTTTAGAAATAAAAAACTCGAGATGAAGTAAGGTGTTAATATCTTAATAAAAAAATTGATCATATTGTTAGTGTTAATTGTTGGGTTAACTCAAAATATAACCAAAACATGTAAGTTAACATATAACCATCATAATTCAAAATTTCAAATCAATGAATATAAATAAAATCAAACAGAAAAATTATCGCAAACAACCCCGTGCTTGCGTGGGGCTTTAATCCCTAGTTATCCTAATCTAGGATGACACGTGCATTTTACACTGGCAAACATAATGGCATTTGTTTTCAGAACAAAACTTTATGGATATCAACTTACTTGACCACAACCGCTGAACAAACTAGCAAGGACACTTTCCTAAATAAAAAACAAACTAGCAAGGACACTCTCAGTCACCTAAACTGGAAAGATAAAATTACAAATCATGCAAAACTGAAATTCTTTTTTCTCTGATAAATCTGAAGAGAGACTTATACGGAACTTACACTCTGATCAATGTCAGAGACATATACTGTTCTTCTAATACTATCCTTTCTCTGAGACTTAGAAGCTCTTCCAGTCAACCTCACCCTCCTCTCTGCGTATAGCCGTTTCTTCTTTGTAATCCACAAAACAAAAACAAAAACAAAATAACAGACAAATTAGCAAAATTAATTCAATTGACGAACGGTAAAAGGGGCTTACGGCGTTTGGTCTGCGCGGAGAACGGTTATGGTTGACATAAGCCATCTTCGAGGGACAACAATTCCTCCAAATCTTCTTCCTTTCGAAGCAGCTTATAAATTCCTACATAGTGGGTTTAAAGCGGAGAATAGAAACTGAGATGAGATGAGAACTCCAATCGTCGGTCGGAGCTTGCCGATGTAAAGGAGGGAGACGAAACGACAGTGAGAAGCGTTTGTTTTTCGATTTTTGTTGGACACGTGGCACCCGCATAAGATACGAAAAAGCTGTTGACAAGTCAACACTGTCCTCTCTCTCAATATCAACTTTTATTCAATCTAGACCGTCGGATTATGTCTACAGGTCTTAATCCAACGGTGGTGATCCAATTTGATTGTAAAAGTCTCATCGTCTCTCAACCACCAGATTATTTCTCTCTTCTCCGTCAAACCGTTCTCTACGAAATCACCGAAATCAAACCATTCTCTACACTGGCAAACCGTTCTCCATTCGATCCTCGATCCGCCTCCATTGCCATCGGTTTTGTACGATTCAGACGCCTTTTCGAACTGTTCTCCTCGCGGGAGTTTACTTTACTTCGATGATAATTGAGAGCTCATCTTCTAGTAATCGCCGTAAGGGATCTCTTCTCGGCGGATGTTGGTGGATGGTTGCAGAGCACAGTTAGTTGAATGGCCATTTAGAGCGCCGGTGGTTCGTCGGGGAGAGGCTCTGAGACGGAGGAGATTGGAGATCCAGTTTGATTGGGGTGCGAAACAACCGCGGCGTTTATATGACTCGTCGTGACTGGGAACGGTGGATAGCGGGAGTGAGTGAACTGACGGACACCCTGTTTTGCCGGGTTACTCTTGTTTGTCTTCGATTGGGGTAGAGAAGTCGATGTAGAAATGATCGGCGGCGAGGGTTGGGGTGGGTGAAGGAGGCGGCTATCGTGTTTCTAACAAACGGTGGGGAAAAAAACAAAGGAATTGTGAATTGTGGGTATCGCGAGTCTACGATGGACGGAGAGACCGGATGTTATTGATTTCGCGAGTCTCCGATGGACGGAGAGACCGGAGACGGCAACTTTCGTGGCGAGAGATCAGAGGCAATCAAGCGATCCGGCGGAAAGGACCGTGTGGCGGCATTAGGTTTAGGATTAGGTGAGTAAGAATTTTTTGAGCGTTTGGGGTTATTCGGTAACGAAACTAATTTTTAAGGACTGGATGCGAAATAGTTTCTCACTTTTTTTTTCTTTAAGAAAGGTGCGCCACGTGGCGGACGCTGGAGAGAAGGTATCCTCTCATTATAATATAAATAACCTATTCCATGAACTAATAGAATTTTAGTTATTACAATTATTTTGAATTTAATATATATTAAAGATAATATAATTTTGATGAATGGAAAACCTAATTCTATTAGAATATGACAAATATATTTTTTTTTACTATAATAGATTAAATTTTTTTATAATAATTTTCTTTTATCTAATATTTTCTTAATCATTAATTTTTTTCCATAAGTTTCAAAACTAAGAAACAAAGGAGACAAGTCGGATCTAAATGGGTACCCACAAGTAAACGGGTAATAACCGGAACCGATCCGAGACCCGTGGGTATAGAAGAAAAATAACCAACAGGTGATTTAGGCCTAAACGGATACTACCCGGAACCTATTTTTTTGGGTCGGTTCTGGGTCGGGTCCTTCTGGTCGGTTTTTATGCCCAGGCCTAATCTTAACGGATGTAATATGAAAAGTGACACATGTCGTGATCTTATAAATTATAAAAATCTTACGTGTTGCAACCACGTCGCGCGCATCCAACTTTATATAATAAGAAATGGAATTACAAAATTCTAAGTATATAAATGTGATTAAAAACAAAAAAAAAAACTCTTTGAAGAATTCCATTATGGAAGTAACAATATCTTATCTTATTATATAAAGCTGGATGCGCACGACGTGGTTGCGACACGTAGGATTTTTATAAAATTCAGGATCGCGACATGTGTCACTTTTAAGTTTATGTCCGTTAAGATCGTGACACGTGTCTTAGGAAAAAAAGAACTTAAAAAAAATTCCAGAAAAATGTTAATTAAAAAAACGAAATTTAATTTAATCTATTATATCAAAAAGGAAAAAATAATATTTGCATAAGATTTTTATAAAATTCAGGATCGCGATATGTGTCACTTTTAAGTTTATGTCCGTTAAGATCGTGACACGTGTCTTAGAGAAAATGAGAAAAAAAAATAAAAAATAATAAAAATTTAGATAAAGGAAATTTAAAAAAAAAATAATCCATTACAGTTAAAAGAAATAAAAATATATTTGTCATATCCTAATAGAGAAAGGTTTCTCATTCATCAAATTAATATTATCCAAACAAATAATAAAATCAAAATAATGTAATAAATAAAATCCTATTTGTACATGGAATATGTTATGTAAACTAAATTTCCTATAACTGCATGTAATAGGTTACTTGAACCCCTATAAAAGAGAGTCAAAGTTTCTCAATCATAAATTCATCAAAGCAAATTCATCAAATCCCTTTGATTCTATTTCTCCAATTTAAAAATCATGTTTTTGAAAGTTTTGCGATACATAGGATTTTTATAACTGACAAAATTGCGACATGTGTTTTAGAAAAAAAAATTTGAAGTATGAAGATCGTAACATGTGTCATGGAATAAAAATAATAAAAAAATTAATATGTATAAGACTAACTAAAAATTAGAAAAACAGATAACAAATAATTAAAATGAAAAAATAATACATCCATTAAAAGTAATAAAAACAGGAAACAAATAATTTAAATTCTTTTGTTACATCTATTAAGAAAAGGAAAAAAAATCCATTTCGAAAAGGAAAAATACCAATATATAGTATTTATAATGGTCGAGGCAAAAACAAAATTGAGAAAGAAAAAATATAAATAGAAAACTAACAAAATAATTATCAAGCAATTAACTAATATTAAAAAATTATAATTGATATTCTAATTTTAAATAGTTTGATTTTCAATTTTGAAATAAAGATTTCATCAATTAAAATCTCTTGAATGGAATAATAAAAGTTTGATTAATTAATCAGTTGATCAGATTTAGACATGTGTAAGTCTTTCTGTATTGGATAAAAATAATAGTAAAACAAATTAATTCATTTTGTCATATCATAAATTCAAAAGAAAAATCAATTACAATAAAAATGTAAAAGTATTACCAATCTTATTTTATTTAAATATTTTTTATCGGGTTTTCAATATTATTTTGTTTACGTTTAAAAATGATCAAATTTTGTTTAATATTTTCCATGCTTTTATTATAAAATCTTAAAATATACCCGCGTATACGCGGGCCTTAATCTAGTTATAATATAAAGCTGGATGCGCGCGACGTGGTTGCGACACGTATGATTTTTATTAAATTTAGGATTCCGACATGTGTCACTTTTAATATTAAGTCCATTAAGATCGTGACATGTGTCTTAGAAAAAAAAAAGGAAAAAAATAATAATTAAAAAAAATAGATAAAGGAATTTTTTTTTGTATATCTATTAGAATAAAAAGTAAAATAATATTTGTCGTATCCTAATATAAAAAGGTTTTTCATTCATCAAATTTATATTATCTAAATACATATTAAATTCAAAATAATGTAACAAATAAAATCATATTAGTACATTAGCAAAAATCAGAAAAAATGAAACAAACAATTAAACGAAAAATATAACATCCATTAGGAAAAGTATAGAAAAAATATAATATTATTACGAAAAAAAACGAAAAATCAGAAAAATATGATGAAATAATTAAAAAAATATTACATCGCGTAAGAAAAGGAATAAAAAAACATATTCCCATGAAGAAAATGACAAAAACCAATATATAACAAGCTATATTTAAATTATTTTCTTTCTTATTAAGAAATCAAAAATCATATCCAATATTTAATCAGGTGATGAAATATGTCAACAAAATGAAAATTGAAAAAATGGAGTAACATAAATAAATAAACTAATAAAATAATGGTAAAACAACTAACTAATAATGAAAATGAAAATTGTAATGGTTAGAGGCAAAAACAAAATTGAAAAAGAAACAATATAAATAGAGAACCGACAAAATAATTATCAAGGAACTAAAATATTAAAAAGAAAATTTTATAATGGACCGATCTTCTAATATTAAATAGTTTAGTTGGAAATTAAAAAAAAACTTTTATCTATTAGAATAAAAAGAAAAAATCATATTTGTCATATCTAATAGAAAAAGGTTTCTCATTCATCAAATTTATATTATCTAAACACATATTAAATTCAAAGTAGTGTAATAAAAGAAATAAACAATTAAAGAAAAAATATAACATCCATTAGGAAAAGTATAGAAAAAAATATAATTCTATTACAAAAAATCATAAAAATAAAATGAAATGATTAAAAAATATTACATCCAGTAAGAAAAGGAATAAAAAAAAACATATTCCCATTAAGAAAAGGAAAATAAAACCAATATATAACAAGCTATATTTAAAATAGTTTATTTCTCATTAAGAAATCAAAAATCATGTCCAATATTTAATCAGGTGATGAAATGTGTCAACAAAAGAAAATTGGAAAAATAGAGTAACATAAATAAATAAACTAATAAAATAATTGTAAAACAACTAACTAATAATGAAAATGAAAATTTATAATGGTTAGAGGAAAAACAAAATTGAAAAAGAAACAATATAAATAGAGGACCGGCAAAATAATTATCAAGGAACTAAAATATTAAAAAGAAAATTTTATAATGGACCGATCTTCTAATATTAAATTTTGTAGTTTTCATTTTTTGCTTAGGTAAAACAATATTAAAAATAAAGATTTCATCAATGGAATAATCAAAGTTTCATAAATTAATGAGTCGATTAGATTTAGACACTTGTAAGTTTTTCTATTTCATATAATGAATTCAAAAAGTGATCAAATTTTGTTTAATAAACCCGCGTGTACACGGGACCTAATCTAGTACAGAATAAAAAAGAAAAGCAAACTAAAATTATGAAAGTGTTGTATTTTTTGAAAAGGAAAAGGAAACAAAAATTCCATGTCAGTATTGTATTTTTTAATTTTAATTGTTTTAATATTCTAATTCTCATTACTTTAATTATCATCCATTAATATAATAGGTTTAACAAGAATAAGAATATGAAAAGTCACTTAAAACAAGAAGATTATGTATAGATTTAAAAAAACTATTACTCCCTCTGTTTCAAATTAGTTGTCGTTTTGGGAAAATGTATCTGCAATTATTTGGATATATCTGCGATGCAAAACACGTCCAGATACGTCCAAATATTTGCAGATACATTTTGCCAAAATGACAACTAATTTGAAACGGAGGGAGTATTTACTAATTTTAGTTTTATTGGGATGAACTGAGAAAAGAAACATAACAAGAAACATATCCGGACTGGATGGGATGAGAAGAAACATAACAAGACGGGAAGGGAACTTTGCCTACCTCTTATTATATTTAGAGACGGGATGAGAAGAAGATGGAAAGAAACAAAATGAGATAAGATGAATCTCATCAGGAGGGATAGGATATGATGAAAAATAATAAAATGAGATGGCACGAGACATGACGTAAACTTTACATATCCTTAATTATTTTAGGGACAGGACAAGACAAAACGAAAAAGAATGGAATGAGTTATGATGGGATTGCATGGGAAGAGATGGATATAATGGAAATGAACATGATGAAAATAAACGAAATGGGAGAAATATGACAGGACGGTTAGAAATTTTGTGTAACCCTAATTATATTTAATTAATATGTGTGACATTTTTGAAAAACAATAATAAACCATATAATTAAATTAAATTTGCGGAAAAAAACAATAAAACTAACATACCAATATAAATTCCCGCTCATAGCGCAAATCAGCCCCTAGTTGCATATATTTTGCCTCTTTATTTGTGAGAGACTATGGGTAATATACCCTTGCTGGAGCTGCTCTTACTTCTTTGCCAAGAAATCGTCTATATTGTTGTTGGCAGTCCTATAATAATTCCCCTCTGTAACTTTACGAACAGGAGTGCGTTTTGCAAGTGAGAACAGAACTCAAAGGAAGGTTGTACAAGAATACAAGATGTGTTTTAAAATAGTTGAAGACATAAGTGGTAAAGAAGCTTTGAATTCGTTAAGATCTTATTAATTACAAAAGACTTGAGAAGATGACATTAAAACTATATTTTTAATTATTACGTTACACGATAATTAGGTGTTTCGTTCTCCATTAAAAGGCGTCTAGATCCCGACTCTTTGATGCATATAAGTGGCAAAGTTGATCCTATAGTTGTGAGATGGTGTCGACAAATCCAGTTGATGGGCCTGGTCAATGGGCTATAAAAAGTCAACCTTTACTCTATTCTGGGCTCAAGCACTGTTCCTGATCAGCTTGGTATATAAGCTGTTACAAGGCGTTGAAGATACGTAACCTAAATTGGAGAGACGAGAGAGCGGCAGAACAGAGACACGGTGAAGAGTTTCAAGGTGTTATGGTTTCAGAGTTCTCACGGTTGTGGTCGCACTTGTTACGATTCCTCTTCACGTTAGAGCTAGGTTCATAGCTCTTGTTCTTTCTCTTTGTGGTACCTGAAGCAAAAGAGATAAACGTGTAAGAAGAAAGCTTGTATCTTGTAATCACTTGATTGACATTGATTCTAGTGGATTGAGAGTGCCGTCCTCTCCCCAGACGTACCGAAAGGGAACTGGGTTAAAAAGGTCTTGTGTCTTATTAATATTAACAACAAACAAACGTGTCAAGTAGTTCGATCGTGGTTAGCTTAAGTTATATTGGCTAAAGTTGAGGTTGAATCGATATTAAAAACCTCACAAGTGGTATCAGAGCTCCGGGTTTAAGTAGAGGAGGATACGTTTTCAGTTTCTGATCTGTGGTTGGTGTTGTGACGGGAAGTTTCTAGGGGGTTCAGTCAAGTGTTTTAGAGACAGGAAGTATCAAGCAAAGTCTGAATCATGGAATCTACTCAAGGTAAAATTGACGTGGAAAAGTTTGATGGTAAAGGAGACTTTGGGATGTGGAAATTCAAGATGCAAATGCAACTTGAAAATCTGGGTTTGGATTCTGTTCTGGTTGGAGGAAGAGTCCAGCAGCAGCAGTGTACCTGATAATGGCAAGGCAGTTGACGGTGAAGCTAAGTCTACTGTTTCTCCGGTTGATCCGCTGAAAAAGGAGAAAGACAAGAAGGCAAAGAATCTGATATGCTCCTGCCTTACAAATCTGGTCCTGCGCAAGGTAATGAGAGAAACAACAGCTTTAGGTGTATGGAAAGCTCTTGAAAAAGATTATCAAACCAAGACCTTACCAAACCGTATCTACTTGAAGCAAAGGTTTGCAAGTTTTAAGATGGAAGAGCACAAAAGCGTAGAGGATAATCTTGATGTGTTTCTTAGGCTTGTAGATGATTTAGCAAGTTTGAACATCAATGTGAGTGATGAGGATCAAGCGGTGCAGATTTTATCAAGCTTACCTAAGCAATATGACTCACTAGTTCATACACTCAAATATGGTAACGGGAAAGAAACGCTTACCTTGCATGAGGTTACAACTTCTGCATATGCCAAGGAGGTTGAGCTCAAGGAATCTGGGCTTCTTGGAAAGGCAAAGTCAGGTGCAGAAGCGTTGGTTGTGAGTAGAGGAAGGTCTAAGAAGAAGAGTTCTTGGCAGAACAGAGGTAGATCTAAGAGCAAAGACACAAGGTCAAAATCCAGACCAAAGAATGGGACAAAGCCTAGAAAATGTTGGACTTGTGGTGAAGAAGGTCATTACAAGAAAGATTGTCCTGAGCAAAAGAATGGAAAACAATCTAACTCTGCAAATGTTGCTCATGAGAAGGAGCAGCCTATGATCTTAACGGCAAGCATACAAGGCAACGTGAAAGAATGGGTCATGGATTCTGGATGTACTTTCCACATAACTCCAGATAGAGATGCTTTGTTTGACTTCAAGGAAGTTGATGGTGGAAAAGTAACTATGGGTAATAATACTTACAGCGAAGTCAAGGGAATTGGAAAGCTTAAGATCATAAATTCAGAAGGAGGTACAGTGATTTTAACTGATGTGAGATACATGCCATCAATGGGTAAAAATCTCATCTCTTATGGCCAATTGGAGAGGAATGGGTGCAAATATGAAGGTAAAGATTTCATAGTTACATTCTACAAAGGAGGTCAGAAAGTAATTTCAGGCAAGTATCGAGATGGGTTGTACTATTTGCTGGGAACGGTTGTTAAGGTTCAAGGATCTACTGGTCAAGGTGGAGAGATTTCTCGAAATTCTGTTTCTACTGGTCAAGGTGGAGAGATTTCAGAAAGTTCAGAATTAGAGCCAAAGGGTTTACCTGGAAATAGTTTGGAGAAGTGTGTATCGCTTCTCAATGTCACTCCATAAGCGCTCTGAGTTGTGCCTGGATTTCTCTTGGTCGATTTGGGAAATCTCGCAGAGGCAGAAGATATTGAAAAGTCAGTATCAAGAAGAAATCGACACAGTTTCTAGATGGTCAAGTCTGGAAATAAAGAAAACAGAAAGCTAAGATGGGTTTATCGTTTTATCATTTCAGAACACAAGAGAAGGCATGGGTTTTTTGGTTTTAAAACAAGTTGTCATCTCAAAAGGAAATCGATGGAAAGCAAATTTCAAATGGTCAAATTTGAGATTTGAAGAATCAGAAGTGTTGAGGAGTTTTACCTTGAAATCTACGATGCTTTAATGGAAAAATCAATGATCTTGAGCAGCTGCAGGTACAAGAAAGACATCACGTTTTTTTCCAGTATGAGCTACATATCACGGTGAAGGGATGTGGAGGTTTCGGATTTTCTGAGAATGAGAAAGGGAAAGAAGCTGGTCAAAGTTTCTCAACAGATAAACATCAAGGGAAGAATCATATCTCAGATTCTCATCATTACATTAAGAGAGATTGGGTTTGGTTACCTGATTTGCAGAAACAGAAAGAGATGTTGGTGAAGGCGTCTTGACAGCGACAAGCAATGGTGAAGTTGGAGTCGCAGAGGTTTGATCTCGGTAAAGAGGTTTATCTGAATCAAATGAAAAATTAAGGAGACTTAGAGACTGAAGTTGAACATCACGGTTGAGAGATTGTTCTGATTTACAGTTTATCAGAAACTGAAGTAATTTCTTGGTCAAGAGAGGTTGGGTTTCCGGTTACCTGATTTACATTTTGCAAAAGTGAGAGACGACACTAGTTACGGCGTTGAAGAAACAGAGCTATGAAGGGCGGTAGAGTCTGACACAGAAGCTTCTGTTTCATAATCATTTGCAAATCTTCAGAGTAGCAGAAACTAAGAAAACAAAGTCACGGTATAGAGACAGTAGTTTGAGTTTCAAGGTTTACCTGAGATTGCAATTGGGATTCACTGGTGGTTTAATCAGTGAAAGGTGTATCTATTGTTGGGAAAGATGATTGCAGAGATGACCAGTGGGAAAGTCTGATTCGTCAAAGCTAACAGATGGTGAAATCTGTTTTAGAATTCTATTGCAAAATTACAGAGAAGGAGAAACTAAAGTAATGTCATGGTGAAGAGACATTAGTGTTGTCTCGGAGATTTACCTGAGTTTTGTGATGTTCATATGTCATTGGTGAAGATGATTGGAGAAGTATTTGGCGGTGAAGCTGATGAAATTAGCTGGTCTAAGCTACAAAGAAGAAAAGGATTTTTGAAAAGAAATTCAAAATTGCAGGAAAATCAGAAGCTGAAACACATTACAGTGAAGAAGTGTTATGGTTTTTTTAAGCTACCTGGATTTGTGATGATGAGCATCAAGCGGTTGAGATGATTGCAGAGCATAATGGTGATGAATCACAATCATCAAGCTATCACAGATTGAGAAGATCGGTTAAGAATTTTCTGCAAAATTACAGTTAATCAGAAACTGAGTCTACATCACGGTTGTGGGATGTTTGGGGTTTCAAACTTACTTGTGGTTGCAGAGAAGAATTGCCGGCGGTGAAGCTGGTGAATGAGCAGAAATGTCATCGGAGGTGGAGAGTTTTGAGAATAGTCGACGATTCTCTTGGCTTGCTCTAAAATTGATTGACGGAGAAGCTCGAGACTGATTCGGTGATGGTGAAATCAGCGACATCAGTTGTTTTCGCCGGTGAGGCTTGCAGCGGAAATGGCTACAGCGACGTCGGAGCTGGCCGCGGCAGCCACATGCATAGGCGGAGGAGAAAAACGATTCATCTTCATAGATGATGAATTGTGACGGCATCGAGAAGGGAAAAGGCCGGTGGTGACGCAAAGAGTTGGTCGCGTTCCCTAAATTTGATTGATGGTGGAGCTCTAAGTAGCTCAAGACTGAGTTGGCGATGGTTGATTCATCAACTGCAGAGATTATCGCCTGTGGTGGTGGCAGCGGAAACGGTCGGCGGTGAAGCCTGAGTTGGTCGCGGCAACCACATGCAGAGGCGGAGAAAACGATTCATCTTCAAGTTGATGAATCGTGATGATGGAGCCGAGCTCCACAACCGGTGGTAAATCTGGAGTGGGAGCGGCGGTATCGGAAGCTGTCGCCGGTAGAGATGGCAGCGGAGATGACCGGCGGTGTTGCCGGAGTTGATTGCGATCTCGCTGGTGGAGGCGGAGAAAGCAAGAGAGACGGTCGATTCATTTTTCCCAAATGATGAATCATGACGGCGGCAAGTTCTAAGACCGGTGGTGAAACCGGAGGTGACGACGCCGGGGAGATTTCGTCTCAGGAGAGAAGAGGAAGAGATTTGTCGGCAAAGTGGAGATTGTGAGATGGTGTCGACAAATCCAGTTGATGGGCCTGGTCAATGGGCTATAAGAAGTCAACCTTTACTCTATTCTGGGCTCAAGCCCACTGTTCCTGATCAGCTTGGTATATAAGCTGTTACAAGGCGTTGAAGATACGTAACCTAAATTGGAGAGACGAGAGAGCGGCAGAACAGAGACACGGTGAAGAGTTTCAAGGTGTTCTGGTTTCAGAGTTCTCACGGTTATGGTCTCACTTGTTACGGTTCCTCTTCACGTTAGAGCTAGGTTCATAGCTCTTGTTCTTTCTCTTTGTGGTACCTAAAGCAAAAGAGATGATCGTTGAAGAAGAAAGCTTGTATCTTGTAATCACTTGATTGACATTGATTCTAGTGGATTGAGAGTGCCGTCCTCTCCCCAGACGTATCGAAAGGGAACTGGGTTAAAAAGGTCTTGTGTCTTATTAATATTAACAACAATGTCAACAAACAAACGTGTTAAGTAGTTTGATCGTGGTTAGCTTAAGTTATATTAGAAGTTGAGGTTGAATCGATATTAAAAACCTTACAATAGTCTTCATCAAGAAGTTGTATAAAGCGAGAACTTACGCTATGCTATTACGAATTGAGTATGGATATGAAGAGAATCCAGAAGAAACTTGGAAACCAAATGATCACTTCATGGTTTTATAAGCTCCTCTCTCTCCTTTTCATTACTTGAAAGTTCCAAAACTGTCATAGGTTTTGAAATTTAATGCGTGTTTCTGGCTTTTTTAGCATACATGTAATTTCGAAACAAACATATTAGACGAAAGTTGGTATAAAAAAGTCTTGGTGGCTTTGAAGACCATCCAAGGTTTCAGAATTCTTCTCTCCATCATCAGTTTTTTGACAAAAGTTATAGATTTTTCTTTCTAAATTCATGGGCTCGGTTTCAGGTGTATCATTTACCATAGACGCACCACAAAAATATTGGATATCTACGTGGGAACATTGAATCTATGTTGTTGAAGATGATGCCGAAGGCGGGCATCCAATCATGGGATTGAACTATGGAGTCGTGTATAAAGATGCAACCTTGAAGACACTTAAGGCTTCTGCAAAAGGAATCGAGAAGGCAGAGCCCGGGAAAGACAAAGAGCCTCCTCCTCTAGAGACTGTCAGTACATCAAAGCATCACCAAGTCATAGACAAGAAGCGTAGTGGTTTTAAAAGGTTCTTTTGTTAATGAAATGACCCAAAAAGGACCACGAGAAGAGAAGAAAATCCATATCTGCAAAAGACAAAAAAAAACACTCATCATGTGCGTGTGTTTATCAATCATCTTTGCCTATTAATTGGTAGATATTATAATATTTTTCAAGAACCATTAACAAATCTGTCAATGAACTTGATCTTACTGTTGGAGTTTGTGAAAGGGATATCTTCGAGGATTAGGTGAAATAAAACACATTTGTTGATCATTACTACTACTACCCCCGTCATTAACCATTGTTTTTCTAATGCCGATACGATAATGTTATCATTTACTAGATGAGTACCTGCGTTACTAATAATTGCTCTTCTAATGCCTATTTCGTTAAACTGAGGAAATATTAATCTCATGAAGATCATGGTTTGTTGTTGCTTCAGAAGTTGAAAACCACTTTCAAGAAGTATCTGCTATCTCAGCAAATTGTCGAAATATAACTTGCCGCAGCTGAACTAGTGGAAAGGTTCAAAAAGTAGATATATTTGCAAGTAAAATTCAATTTTGATAATGATTAGAAAATTCATGTGTTTCAGTATATTACTATAGATCTATTTTTACTTTCAATGTAGAATTTCTACTATAGATCTATAAAAACGTGACCAAGTGTAGCTAAAAAGACTTTAAAATGTTCTTTAGATCTGCCCATATAATGGGAGGTAACCCTTTCGTAAGAATCTAGTCCTAACAGTATTCTCAAGATTTCAGAAATTTATCTTCGTCCAAACAATATTCTCAGGATTCATTGGTTATTACTTATTATGGCCCCAAATGATAGGAAAGTAGTTGAATTTTTATAAACAAAATTATTCCAACAGGTAAGAAAATTGTACAATGTAACAAAAAGTCCAAAACATTTCGAAGAAGAATCAGAATGCTTAAGTAAATTTCATTTTAATTTAGGTTTGAGTATTCGGTTACCGTTTCAATTCAGATTGTTTTTCTGGGTTGTGAGTATTCTTCTCCATCAACCTTTTAAAAGGATTGTACACCAACGATTATCCACTTCACCGCTGAGCTTACAATATAAGGGTCCACTTGATTTGGTGCCAAAGAAAAGTTGCATGGAATTCTCACATAGAAATCATGTATATTGATAAATTCGAAAAACTTATCTAGGCCGCCGTTAAGCGGGTCCACAGTATCATCTTCATCATACAATTGTGGGATCACAAATTGGCTCTTCTTCCCTTCAGGTTGGGTAATATTGACAGAATCAATATCCTTCTTCTTTCCGTTCGCTCGTTTCTTCTTTTTCGGATCAGCTGGTTCTTCCTTCATTCCCTTCACTTTCAGGTTTTTAACAGTATGCTTGTATGTAACTCCTGCTTGTGGTGTTGCCTCTTCTTGTAGTAACCAAGACTGTCACAAATGTAATAGCTGTTAGAAATCTAGCATTACCATAGTAATAAATCTATCATACACCATCACTGGTTTTAAGTAAGACTACCTGCACCAACACAAGTTAGACTGAAAAACGTCTACCATTCCACAAATCGATCTTCTTAAGTCTACCATAATAAATCTATCATAATACAACAACCTATGTGCACGCCTCATCTCAAGTACCTTTCAATGCAAGCAAGAAGCCAACAAAGTGACAACCAATGAGATCTACATTCTTACTACGCCCTTCATCAAGCATCAACATTATTCCAACCTTGGTCTTTTGTTTGCAAAGACTCTCATCAATGTTAGGCACTTGGCTCAAGACCTAGCAAGCAACAAGAAGCTTTGTGTGAGATTTGGGAGACTCATCACAGCCATTGTTCAACATTTGGGGATTGACATCCCCAGTTATGAGCCTCTACCTAAAGCTGCCCTATTGGATCTCCATGCCTTTCACCAAATTCACTTCCTAAACCGTTGGACCCAAAACCCAACCAAGTTTTGCTATGAGTATCCAATTGGTTCAGCTGATACATCACTTGTCTAGTTGTCTTGCTACCATATGACAACCTTCCCAGCCTCCGCACCGCATTTTCACTTTCCAACCTAACAAAGAAGACTTCTGTGTTCCCTCACAAGCAAGACCATCGCTCCTTATCACAACTACTACACACTTCAGTGCACAGGCAAGGCCCAGCGCCGCCACCAAGAACGCCATGTTCTCAGCACTGGGATGCCAGCAAACCTAGCCCTGGACCGTGTCAGCCAATTGGAGAAAGTTGTGGAGTGCCAGTCACGCTTCATCTCGCGCCTAATCCGCGTAGTTCGCCACATTGCACCGGATAGACTCTTCCGCCCTTCTCTCACTGCTAGAGAACCATATGAGCCCGATCTTGGCGAGTTCTCACTCACCTCCGAGCTTGGTTCAGAAGGCGACGATCCCATAGAAGAGGAGGAGAGTACATCCCACCACAACACCTAGTCATCTCAGTGGTATCTAGTGCAATGGACACTTACAAATCTCCATTTAATATCCCTATCTCGTTTTAATGAATTTCATTCACTTTTCTTTTATTTTGAATATTGTCTCTTACCCTTAATGTGATTTTCTTTCACCGGGACGGTGCAAGTTAAGTCTGGGGGGAGTTTTATTGTGTACTAATGCATTTTTCTTTCTTTTCTTATGTTTTATTTCGTGTTTTCTTGTTTTATTGAGTCAAAACCTTGTCCGGAAATTATGAACTTGCTTTGAGATTTGCCGGTGTTGTGCTAACAATCTATGACCCGAGAGCAAACATCATCTAGAGGCACAAACCTAACAAAAGCTCTAACAGTGGATCGACATGCTAGCTCAGCGACATTTCTAAGGTAACCAAGCAATCTAGAGTTAACCCCACTCTTAATCAATCTTAATAACTCTTGTCAAGGGGATTGGTATACATATTGGCAGTTCCTTGCTTGATTTTCGATGAGATATGTCTAACCTAAAGAGCAGTTCTCCTCTCTCTCCCATCCTGAAAATAAAACAAAATATGAGAAAAAGCTTTTAAGGAAAAAGGAAAACAAGCATGAGGAATGCATATGTTTGTACCTTCATGTCTTATGGAATACCTTACTAAAACAAGGAACAAGTAAAAGACTTATCCTGTGTTGATAGAGGGGTCGATAGAAAAAATAAAATGATACCCTAGAAAAGTAGGGAAAATCGACCCTTCAAAAGATCAAGATGTGAGATAGAGAAAGGGAAAGAACTCATTGTGCTTCAAAGACTATCTTGGAAGAGGTCAAGTGAGTAAGAACAAGTACTTAATGATCGATATTCCCTTGATAAAGAACTCACTCTTTAAATTTATGCAAGGGGTTAGCAATAGAAAGTTCGGATTACTGGATGAGACTAGTTGAGTTGGTATTGTTCGCTAAACTTGCAGGGTGTATGTGAATGTTAACCTTATGTTGCCTATGTTATTAGTGGAATACAGGATAGGAACCCTTCACAAGATTTTCAAAGAGGCAATAGAGTTTCCACATTTTCAAACCTCTTTCACGGATTTAGATTCATTTTGATTGGGGACAAGCAAAGATCTAAGTCTGGGGGAGTTGATATACCTCTATTTAACATGCTTTTATACTATTTTAGTACGGTTTTCTAATGGGTTTTAGCAGGTTTTCAATCTAAAAAAGTAGTTTTGTTATATTTATAGTACTAAGAGTCTAAGCAGGTTGAATGATGCATTTTGGAGCGAAACTACAAGATTTGGACTTCATCCCGCTCCATACCGAAGCATCAACTTTGATAAGGCCTTTAAAATAATCTACGCAATTGTTTTTATCAAGACCACTTCGCCGCGTGCCCTGAGTGAGTTAACTCTCCAACGCAAGTGGATTCGCATCATTTGGATGAGTAGAAATGGAGTTATGATCGTTTTAGTGAAGACTGGTCCAGACAGCCGTAACCGCGCAAGTAGTCACTCGGCGCCCAAGACCGCGCACATCGGCTGACCAAGGAACCATGGGTCCTGAGGTCGACCCGCGCAGCACACCATCACCTATATAGGATTGTGCGCGGCTGAGCGACGAACCAAACTGGGAAGCAAAGCCCCGCGGTCGACCCATTCCTTTCCAGCGCCCATCAATGCGCACGACCGCATCGTTCGAACCGTGAAGCATCGTCCCGTGCTCGACCTGCTCACTTCCCACAATCCACGTACCGCGCACGACCACATTTTCCGACCAGAGGACCAACGTCCCACGTCCGGCCCGAACGTTCAACCAAACTTATCCGCCCGGCCGACCCCGACGTCCGAACATACAATCATCCGGCCACGATCGTCCCGAACATACCGAAGCCCGATCATCACCCGTTAGCCGGCCGAACGTCCTCCAAACGGTCCAGTCGACCAAAGCCCGTTTTTGAAGCCCGTTTCACACATTTTCACGGCCGACTAAACCTAATGTTGCCTCCGAAGACCTAGCACTATAAATACAACTTTTTAGCCTCTTGAGAGAGAGAGCGGCATATTGTATCACGTTTTACACTTAGAGTTTTGTTCTAGAGATTTCAAGGAGAGGATCTCTCCTCCTTACTTCAATTTGGAGAAGTTTTCTAAACCTTTATCTATCTATGATGTTTTCTTCATCTCTTTGTGTTATTGCTTTGATCATGTCTAAGTAATCCACTAGTTAGGTTGCTAGGGTTACTAATCAATCAGTTGCTTGCATGATCTCTGATTTCGATGATTAACTAGGGATTTCTTTAGAGTCTTTGTCTCGTTTTGTTCACTTAATTAATGCTGATTACTTTACCGCGCATCTAGTAATCCGATCTTAGGTTGATTTGAGCCACGACAGTGATGTATCATTTGCCGGATATATTCTTTGACAAGCTAGGTATCTTAAACTGCGACAGTTGATTTACTTAACCTAGTGAACTGAATCGGAACTTGCTCGATCTAATGCTTGAATAACCATCTAAGGACATACCAAAAGTTTAGCGATTAGATAGTTATCATAGGAGCCGGAGCCACGACAGTGGAAAGGTTTTATATTCGTGTTATGTGTTCTAGACGGTTTATCATCCCAATATCCCTAAATCTTATCATCTATCATTGAGTCATGATCATTGCTTGCTTCTCTGCGAGTAGCCCCTGTTGAACAAGCGCTTTCTTCCCATTGAATTTACAACCTCTTTTACTTGTTAGTTTTAGTTACAGTTACAACCTCAAAAACATATATTATTGTTTTAGCTTGATCCAAAATCTATATCTTCAAAGTGTACTCAATAGCCAGTTCTTGTGTTCGATACCCATATTTCTACGATCTGTGCACTTGCAGATGTCTAAAAAGTTTGGTAAAACCTTACTCACATCAAAAGGCTCATGCAAAATGACACAAAGACGCAAGGTACTGATCTCGCTAACCAAGCCCTCAACATCCTGCTCTCGAGCTGAATCACACCTACGTCAACTCAACACATCTGCCACTAGGTTAGTCTTGCCTGGATGATAGATAATCTCCAGGTCATAGTCTGTCAAAAACTCAATCTAGCGCGTTTGTTTCATGTTCAGCAATGGCTAAGCGAAGATATGCTGCAGAGACTCTTGTGATCCGAAAAGATCTGCACTGACCCACCATACAAATAAGACCTCCAGATCTTAAGCGCGAAGACCACCGCTCCCAACTCAAGATCATGCGTAGGGCGATTACGCTCACTACCCTGCCACTGTCTTGAAGTATATGCAATAACTTTGCGCTCCTGTATCAAGACACAACCCATACCAACTTCTGAAGCATCTGTATACACCACATAAGGCTTCCCCGGCTAGGGTAATGCCAAAACAGGTGTACTATAAAACATCTCCTTGAGCTTCGCAAAGCTCTCCTCACACTCCGACGACCAAACAAACGGGACATCCTTGCTAGTCAACTTAGTCATAGGTTGCGCCATACTCGCAATAGCCTGGTAAACTCAGAAAACTCATGATCATCCTGAATATGTGTGTCAATTGAACAAAGCCATCTACAGTTTGAAACAAGCACCAAGAGCGTGGTACGTTGAGCTCCCGAATTATCTCCTCTCTGTTGGTTTCGTTAACTTGATCTCTGATACGTCACTCTTCATTCTCCAGCGAGGTTCATCTATTCTCTATATGCTGGTTTATGTCGATGACATTATTGTCATGGGCAATGATCCCCGTCTGATTCAACAAAATCTAGATGTGCTGGCTATAAGGTTTTCCATCAAGGATCTGAAGGATTCACACTATTTTCTAGGCATTGATGCACGTCGGACACCGTCTGGTTTACACTTGAATCAACGGAAATACATTCTAGACTTTCTCGCTCGCACCAACATGTTGTCAGCCAAGCCGGTCACTACACCTATGGCAGTCTATCGAAAGTTGTCTCTCCACTCTGGTACAAGACTCTCTGATCCATCTGAATACCGAGCCATTGTTGAAAGTCTGCAATACATGTCCTTTACCAGGCTTGATCTCTCATATGCTGTCAGCAAACTCTCACAGTTTATGTATGCTCCTACAACTGAGCATTGGCTAGCAGTGAAGAGATTGCTTTGGTACTTAGCTGGAACACCAAACCATGGAATTTTTCTCAAGAAAGGCAACAATTCGACACTGCATGTGTACTCAGATGCTGATTGGGGTGGTGATATAGACAACTATGGTTCGACAAATGGTTATATTGTGTACCTCGAGTCTCATCGACTCTCGTGGTCTACAAAGAAAGTACAAGGAATAGCATGGTCATCGACGGAGGCTGAATACTGATATGTGGCTAACACGGCTTCGGAGGTAAAAAGTATTAGGGATAAATATCCCACATCGGAAGTTGGAAGGGATCTCAAGTAGTATATAAGGGATGTTGGCCGCTCCACTCATTGCCAATTAGTTTTGAGTTGGAAGCCCATGTAACTTAACATGGTATCAGAGCCCCGATCCATACATTCTAATCCGATCCGACCCATAGTTGGTCCAATCATCGACCATGCCCAAAATTGGTGCTGGCGATCCAAGCCCGAACATACCGAGATCGATGGCCAAAGAGCCATCATCTCGAGAGGGCATATTAGGGATAAATATCCCACATCGGAAGTTGGAAGGGATCTCAAATAGTATATAAAGGATGTGGACCTCTCCACTCATTGCCAATTGGTTTTGAGTTGAAAGTCCATGTAACTTAACAAAAAGAATATGCTCTTTACTTGATGAGCTTGGCATTCGTATTAATTGGACACCATTTATTTACTATGATAATGTGGGGGTTACATATCTATGTGCCAATCCGCCAGGCACATGTGAAAATTTTGGGACGAGAGCTAGCTAGACGAGTGTTTGATGTGGTTAACCCGTTTGTGCTTGGACCCGACCAAAGTCCTTTTATTTTGTCACAAACTGATCTCACTTTAATGTATTAAGTTGTTACCTCTATGTAGTGTTTCTCATTGTTTTTCATCGGTGGATCATGAACCAATGCCATCAACTGTTTCGCCACTCAACTCAGGTATTGCTCTTCCCGTGATAAAATGCTACATCGATGGTCTTTGGTCTCGATAGCTTGATTTTTTAAATTTCCCAATAAATAGTTATCACACAAGTGCACGGTATTATATGTATATAGTATAACGAATCTATTGGCTTGGATCGGTTAATAATGTATATACTTCTGTAGTATTTGCTATAGAAAAAAATTGCATGAAATTGAAACCACTTTATTAATTTGTGTTTTCTATTTGCTTTTACCAGGTCGTAGCGATTTTTGGCGGTTTATAACAATCACGACAACCGCTTTGAATCGCTCTATACCACTCTGTACCGCTCTATATCGCTGAAAATCAAAAGCTCCTTTCCGCAAGCGTTTGCGGTTGCGGGCGGTTGCGGGTGGAAAAAAAAAACACAAACTTATATAAAATCCGAAAATAAATAATAATATTTATTAAAAAATAAGATTTGGATAATAAAATCACAATATAAATAAAAAATTAGTACTTTTAGTCAATATTCATTAAAATCATATAATACTTATATATTTATAAGTTCTACAAATCAAAATTCTCTTCATAAATATTCTTTTCATACTAATACATATATATCTAATAAATAAAATTGTAAAATAAATTTAATTTTCACATTAAATATATATTTTGAAAATAAAATCACATTTTTATTTAAATTATAGAAATTAAAAGATAGACGTAAGTATTATACACATATTATTATTTATAAAAAATTATTTTTAATTATGTTGAACCATAAATTTAAAATTTTCATTATAATATTTTTGATATTTTTATAATTATATAATGTGTTTATATTATTAATTTATTGTTTAACCGCTATTGCATCCGCAAGTGAACCAGTCATAAGTAACCCGCAAACGCATCCATTTTCAATTGTTATGCCAGTCGTACAAACCGCTTAATAACGCTACTAATCACAACCGCCCGCTTCCGCAAACTCCCGCACCCGCAACCGCAACCGCAGCGGTTAAACCAGTCAGGCCCTTAGAGGCCATGGCATTTTATTAAAAAAGGAAAAATAAAATAATGTTCTTATAGATGTAAAAATTAGAGAAAATCCATCATATAAATCATATAACATAAATATTTTTTAATTCCTCTCATATACCATCACTAGTTTTTTTTTTCTCTCATATCATATTTCCATTCATACCATAAACTTCAAATAGTGTGTATAATTTAAATCTTTTGGATTTGTGATGTAGAGAAATATTCTAATTATTTATATTATTATTTTGATAATTTTTTATTATTGTTTAAAGGTTTTCTAGGTTTTGAGATTTATTATAAATAAGTCGTTTAGTTGATTTTGTATTCAGTTAATTTCTTAATATTATATTCAGTTTATTTTGATTTATAAAAAAGAGTTTTAAGCTTTCAAGAGAAGAGTATTCTCTAATCCTTGTTATCAGTCAATAAGTTCAAGAAAACGTTGATTTTTAGGTATTTTTAGACTATATTCATTTTGTCCCATATTATAAGCTGTTTTAGGCTTAGGCACATATATTAGTACAAAATTACTTTTTATTATTTTTGAATTGTTTAAAACATTTAACTAAAAATATAAATAAATACAAAAACTTTCAACCAATCCCTAACTCTCTCTCTCTCTCCTCTCTTCATATCTCAGATTTTTGCTTTTGCTCTTTTTTTTTTTATTTTTTTTTTGCATTGGTTTCTGAAACAGCTTATATTATGAACAAAATTTATAAGTTAAAACAGCTTATAATATGAGACAGATGGAGTATAAGAATTTTTGTATTTATCATAATTTTCAGTACATCAGTCTGGGTTTAGTATTTAGGTTTTAATTTAAAAAGTTTGGGGTTCAATTTTGATGTTTTGAAGTTCATTTTATTTTCACATAAAAAAAAGTTAGTTTTATGTTTATGGTATAAATGGAATAAAGGTATGAGATAGAAAAAAACAACTAATGATGGTATGGGAAAAATTAAAAAATATTTTGATGGTAAAATCAAACCTTTGCATCAAAAAAACTTCAATCAAACCACATGGGACTAATTAATGAGAATTTCGTTTAGTGTGCACCAACCAGCTCTCCGAGTACGCTCCCAACGTGGCTTGACGCTACTATCATCAATGAAATCCATATATGCTACATTAAGCATGTTATCATATTTTACGTTAACCGAATTGCTTCAACTACAGTCAATAATAGTGATAGCTTTATTATTTAAATTAAACCGTAAAACCTTTCCACTATAAATATATATGGTATCAGCATTCCAATGTAAAAAATCTTCACATTTGCACCCAAAAAAAAAGAGTATCAAAATTCAAAGCCAAAGATGGAAAATCGAGAAGCTCTTGTTTACACTCTCTTTTCCATCGTTATCTCTCTCCAATTCTTTTGGATATTCCTAAGGCCGCGTTACAGTGCATTTACGTCTGCGCTGCGGCTGACCCGCCACCTTAAACCGTCCATCCGCCATCTGACGTCGGCCACAAGGTCTGACTTTGAGTTCATGTCGTATATGATCAATAAGGCTGATTCAGTCAATAAAGCACTGGACAAGGCTGTTCCACTCTGCGAGCCAGTACTCAAAATCCGTGAGGCCATGAGGTACACACTTCTCTCGGATGGAAAACGTGTTAGGCCAATGCTCTGCTTGGCTGCATGCGAGCTTGTGGGCGGCCAAGAGTCAACCGCAATGCCCGCTGCATGTGCAATTGAGATGCTCCACGCGTCGTCTCTCATCCAAGACGATCTTCCTTGTATGGACGACGACAGCCTCCGCCGTGGAAAGCCCACTAACCATAAAGTTTTTGGCGAAGATATAGCCGTCTTAGCCGCAGATGCCCTCATAGCTTTGGCCGTCAAGAAGATGGCTACATCCACCTCGTTGAACGCTCCCCCGGCGAAGGTTCTCCGAGCCGTTGTGGAGTTGGCGAAAGCGGTGGGAACGGAAGGGCTTGTTGCTGGTCAAGCTGCGGACCTGGCCGGAGAAGGGATGAGTTTTGAGGACAACGACGTGGGACTGGAGCATCTTGAGTTTATACATATTCATAAAACCGCGGCGTTGCTTGAAGCGGCAGCTGTCATAGGAGGTATAATGGGAGGTGGCTCTGATGAAGAGATCGAGAGACTCCGGAGTTACGAGATGCATTGGGTTGATGTTTCAAGTTGTGGATGATGTGCTTGACGTGACAAAGTCGTCGGAGGATTTGGGGAAGACGGCCGGTAAAGACTTGGTCGCCGGAAAGCTGACATATCCGAAAGTGATGGGAGTGGAAAAGTCAAAGGAATATGCGGAGAAGTTGAACATAGAAGCGAGAGAGCATCTTCAAGAGTTTGACTCTCACAAGATGGCTCCTTTGTTATCTCTCGCTGATTACATTGTCAATAGACAAAGCTGACCTCGTATATGACAGAGATATGTTGTTTGGTTAAACACTAACCGCAGGGATGTCACCACAGCAAAATATTGGAATGAAAACTACAAATTTATTTTTCCTATTTTTGGCCAAGAATAGGATTCTAATTGTTGGATCTATAAAACTTTTAAAATCTAGAAGAAACCGAGTTAAAAACTTAGAATCACTGTAATATGTGCGAAACTGAGAACACTTTACTACTATAATGTAACGGTAAATATTATGTAAATAGGAAAACCCAAACTGAGTACTATACTACTATATTAATATTTACACATCACTCCCCTAGTTGTTTTGACAAATATCGTAAATCCTATTTCTACGACAAACTTACCACATAATTTACAGTTTTTACCATAGTTATGACCAAAATGAAAAAAAAAAAAAAAAAAATCAACATAAAATGATTCAAATTCTTGTTATAAACCCTAAACCCGGGCAAACCAACCCCCCTCCAAGAGGAATTGTCCAAGAGGAATTGTGCTATCAGGTCCTTATACTTAAGGCGAACTCGCGAAGCCGGATAACGGTTCCTCCAAATATTGTAGCTAATTACTGAAATTGAAACCTTCTTGGCTTCCTAGTGCTTGACTTAACACAACTAAGGGAAGTTGTTCATCCAACGGTGGAGGAAACAACTAGAAGTCATTGTATTTTTAAGAATATTCCTTGGAGTAAAGGAAGAAGTGCACAAGCGAGAGTAAAGAGAGAAGTACCTATTCAAACAAAGGAGTGAAGGCTTTCACTAGCGCATAACGTTTTAGCTAAGGGAAGCAGGTAACACATGACACAGCACATCCGCCCATCCATTCAAAGTTAAGGAAGAAAGCAGGTAAGTGGACGAAGAAGTTGAAAGCGGACGAGAGGACTCTAGTTTTGCAATTCGTATTCCTCACGCTGACGCTAAGGAGCATCTGAGGGGCACTCAGCCCCGGCTCTATTATTTTGAGAACCTTAGGCGAAATCCAAAATAAGGGCCTTTTTCTAAAATAAATTAATTTTAATATTAAATCAAATATATCAATAAAAATAAACAAATCTGTGATATTAAAATACAAAATCGCTTCTTTATCTAGGGTTAAACTGGGTGAGAGATTATGGGCCTTTTACTTTATAATTTTATAGATTATGGGCTCTTTTTAGACAATTAATTGGGTTTTAAAAGTATTTTAATTACAAACACTAAGAGAAGAATAAAAAATTAGACCTGGAGCCCATGGCGGTCGCACCTCTCGCCATGGCTTAGAGCCGGGGCTGGGCGCACTCCTGCCCTCTGCCTTCTATAGAGAAAAGAATTCAAGCTTCCAAGTCGGAATCCAAGATAATCCTTTATACATTTCTTCATCCTTCTTGCTTTGCTCGAGTCACTTTCGTCCTTTCCTTTCTTCATTTGTTTTGGTTGGTCAAGGCCTACTTGCCTATCGTCTTCTAGTGTAATGGTTGGGATTCTTTAGATGTAGCTGAAGGCTTCCTACTCATACTTTCACTTTGGCGAATTCCAAGCTATGATCCAAGCCAAAAAAGGAGTAGTCAAAAATAATCAAACCATCAATAACAGTAATGTAGCCAAGCTACTTTCATAACCACCAGGAAAGCCTAGCTACTTGTTCGTTGCCACATAGCTCTTCTGCTCTGTTTGCACTTTTAAGTGAGCACTCCCTCTTCAAAAGCTAAACCAAACCAAATATAATATTTTAATTCATTTATTTATGGTGAATAAATGTTTTTACAGAAATATTTAGTCAATTTTGATGAGAAATTTTTAAGAAATATACTTCTTGAGGTGCCCATTTTCAAAACTACACCTCTATATTTTTAAAAATTTAACATGGTTGGGTTCACTAAGCCTAAACTAGGGTTTAGATTTTAGGGTTTAGAGTTTAGACTTTTAGGATTTGAAATTTATATTTTAGGGATTAAAGTTCTTTTATTCCCTGAAAAATTGTAGTTTTGAAAATTAACATTCTATAGATATAGTTTTAAAAATTTACTCCTAAACAATATATTTATGAAATTTCCTCAACTTTGATCAATAAAGAAGAAGAATCAAAAAGTAAGAGAGACAAGATGGAGCTGATCTCAAATGATTATCCACAAGGACTTCAAGAGAGAACCTATAAGATATTTAAATTTAATTGTATTTCTTGAATTTGATTACTTTTTCACTGTTTTGGAAAAAAAAATAGTTTAAAATATAAGCAGTTTTTACTCTATTTTGGATATTGTGTAACCAATCATACTATACAATATTTTTAAAATTAATTAGATAATATTTAATTTTTGTTTTAAATAATATTTTATTGAAGAAAACTAGTTTTTAATTTTTTCCTTTTGTTTTTTCTTTATCTCAAACTGCATACATTTTACGACACAGAGAATATTTAATAGTGTTGATTGAGAATCTCTTAGGATATCTTATGGATGGAGATGCTATAACAACAGCAGCATGCAAAATACAACAGTTGGTGAACAAAATCTTTGAAGACACGATCGATGTGACTCAATTAATGTGTCTTGCTAAGACATTTGATGTGTCTGAGTCATTGGAATTTGAGTAGTTAATGTTTACAATTCCGAAATTAATTCGTGGTTGTATATACTAAAACCCAAAAAAAATATCCATGTGAGGTGAGTCAGTTTGGTTAACCTTAAAAACCGAGCAAACCAATGTTAACCCAATATGAATTGAATACAATATTGCTGGGTAAAACAAAAACTGACGTGGCATATTTCAATCTTCCATTCTGCTGTTTGCTTGTAGATGTGACTGAATCTCCATTTTCGTCTTTCTTTTCAAGCATTTCGTATTTCGTGCTTTTGTTTTCCACTGTATCTGATTGATATTCGAAGGTTTTCGGGTTGTCGACAGTAATGGGTCCATCAGAAACAGAAAGTGTTGACAGAGGATTTCAAAATCCAGATTGGGAAACCGAGTTTAACCGCTTCGAACAGGCGATTTCGTCTGGTCCTGCTCCAGTTCGTATACGATTCGTTATAAAGCTATCAGATTTGGCAAATCAATTACCGGAGAGTATTCTATCCCGTGCAATCCCTATCCTCGCCGGTCTTCTTCGCGTCTCCGATGATCCCAGTCATTCCGTTCAGGCGGCTGCCGCCCATTGCTTGAAACGTATCGCCTGTCGCGGCGGTGAAGATGGCGCGTTTGCGGTGGCGATGGGGAGGTGCGGTGTGATCGCTGGCTTGCTGGGGTTATTACTCGAGGCGAATTCTAATGGTAATAATACGTTCCGAAAGATTTTGGTGAAATGTTTGTGGAGTTTAGTTACTTTCGGATCTTCGATTCGAATTGGCTTGGCTAGGTTAGGTGGTTTAGAGGTTGTGATCCGTGAATTGAACAATTGGGAAGACGATGGAAGTAGATGGTGTTTGTTAGAGATCCTTAGTGCTCTGACGACAATACGAGAGAGCAGACGCGTTCTTATCCATACGGGAAGCTTAAAGTTTCTTGTGGAAGCGGCTAAAGTTGGGAACTTGGCGTCGAGAGAGAGAGCTTGTCACGCGATTGGATTGATCGGTGTTACTAGACGAGCTCGGCGAATGCTGGTCGAAGCGGGAGTGATTCCAGCGCTTGTGGATCTGTTTCGAGATGGTGATGAAAAGGCAAAGCTTTTAGTTGGTAATGCCTTAGGGATCATATCGGCACAGACAGAGTATATTAGGCCTGTTACGGAAGCTGGTTCGATTCCTTTGTACGTCGAGCTTCTCTCCGGGAGAGATCCAATGGGGAAAGATATTGCAGAGGATGTGTTCTGTATACTAGCTGTAGCTGAAGGTAATGCTGTTGTGATAGCGGAAGAGCTTGTGAGGATATTGAGAGAAGGCGATGAAGAATCCAAGTTTGCGGCTTCTGATGTGTTGTGGGATCTTGCTGGTTATAGGCACTCTGTTTCTGTTATTAGAGACTCTGGTGCGATTCCTTTGATGGTGGAGCTTGTGAGAGATGGGTCTCTTGAGTTCAGGGAGAGGATTTCTGGAGCTATTTCTCAGTTGAGTTACAATGAGAATGACCGTGAGGCCTTTTGTGATTCGGGTATGATACCGATTCTCATTGACTGGTTAGAGGATGAGTCGGAAGAGCTTAGGGATAACGCAGCTGAGGCGCTTATTAAGTTCTCTGAAGACCAGAAGCATTATGGTAGAGTGCGTGAGGCGATGGAACATCCTGTGGTCCATAGTATGCAGAGCAGACTTGCTAGAATCCGAGCCTCCCATGAACTGATGGTTAGGTCAATGCGAAGGGTTACGCTCGAACATCTTGCCCATGATCCACATTATAGCTAATCTCATGGGAAAATCCAGCTTTCCCACTTGTTTTGATGTCTGTTTATAATCTTACTTGAAAAAAAGAAGAGACTCAAATCCTGTTTTGTTTGTTTTTGTACTTACTTTCAAAACCTTTGTATACATGTCCCAAAAGATATTGAATTTGAATGGATATGGAATTTACATGAGTGTGCATCCAGTGGTTGGACCATAAGAATCATAGACTCCTTGATACATCTCACGTTGTGGCTGCTCGTAGCAAACTGAGGGGCATTGAGCTAAGAGTCCATTGTCGACTGTCGTCTTTTTAGGTCTACATCACTTTAAAAGTAAATGATAAGATCATCGTTAAGTAGTGAGGTTCGCTGCAACGCCGAAAAGCAGACTTCCGGTTCTTGATTGTTGCTGAGATAAGGTTGCATTTAGGAAAGATGCATTGTGCATTTACGAAACCGATCAGTGTTGTGTTGTTAGGTCAAACAAAATACGAGATCAAGAAATGATACAGCATCTCCAATGTAAAACTCCATTTTTAGTTCCAAAATGGGGTAATTGCAAAATGGAGATGAATTTTACTCCACTGTATTTCTCCAATTTCTCCCCAAATAAGCAAAAAAGAATATATAATATATTATTTGCGAAGTCATTTCCAATGGAACCACCACATTCAATCTCAGTCGCGGAATTACAGAATTACCCTTAATGAAAGTCTTGATAAAATCTTCAAAATTTCCTTTTTTTTATTCACGAACTAGGAATGTACCCGCGCTTCGCTGCGAGAGTTCTTCTATACCATTATCTTTTATTTAAAGATTGTTGTTAAATTCAATTGAAATAAATTAAAATGAGTTTAATCAAATATCTTATAATACAAATTGATGTAAATTTAAGAATACAAATTGACCTTTACATCAATTTGGTTAATAATTTTTGAGATTGACTTTTACATTAATCTGATTATATTTTTATTAATAAAAATAATAGAATTAAACTACATGATCTTTTCCGTAATCCTTACCCACTAATATCCAAATTCTATTTTACGAATAAATTTTGGATAATAGTTTTTGATACCTGATCGACTTTTACATCAATCTGATTGTATTTTTAATTATAAAAATATTCGTTTGGATTATAACTACATGATTTGTCATGAATCTTAGCCATTATATCCAACTATTATTTTACAGATAAATTTTGGGTAATAGTTTTTGATATCCGAACATCCATTTGATTGTATTTTTAGTTATTAAAAAACAGTTTGAATTATAACTATATGATATTGTTTGTACCCGAAACTTACCTGCTAATATCTAATTTTTATTTTATAGAAAAAATTAGAATAATAGTTTTTTGATATCTAACTAACTTTTACCAGCTAATTCTTGATCATAAACATGCAATGTTTAGGTTTCGATAGTAGTAAAATAACATTTTTGATTATTAAAAATAGGAATAAAAACTATCAGTGTGGCACGGGTTTCATTTTGCTTTTGTTTTTCGAATATACATATATACCTATATTTATGCCTCATGCCAGTTACATTTTTTTTTTAGAACTGGCATTCATATTAAATTGCAAAAGGAAATGAAAAAAGATTATAAGCCCAAGGCTATAGTGTAATTTAATCAGCCCAAAAGAACTTTATAGTGTTAAAACAGCCCAAAGTTGAAATCAGCCCAAGTTGAAACACCCCATCCAGGTAGACGACGATAGAGAGATGATGACAGGGAATCCGAATCAACACCTCCGATTCACAAGTCTTCACCCTCGACGGTCCGATGAGAGCCATAGTTGCAGTAGCTTAGATGCCATCGCCGCGTTTTGATCTCGATAGCTAGCTATCCGGTTCCTGATCTGCCGATCGATCGAGACAGTGATAGAATCACTCGTATTGTAGATTTGCCGATGCAATCTTCCATTTCTTTCTTGCCAAATCCAGTAAATCGTCGCTTGCCAGGCTAACAGTGTAAGCATTTTCCATAGTTTACCTGCTGATAGAGAGATCATCTGAGATAATGAATCTGCCCACATGCAAGCAGGTTGAAGATTGACGCGTCTAGCCATAGATCTCCAGATTTCCAAGCTGAAAGGGCAAATGAAGAAGAGGTGATCCCGAGACTCGGGGCCAGAGTTACAGAGAAGGCATATCGGGTCCGTCTGGAGACCCCATGATAGAATCCTGTCTCTCGTGGGACAACGATTCAGGACCACCAACCAAGTAAGAAAATTCTGCTTTGGGATCCCTCTACTTTGCCAAACTACTTTATTCCATGGAACCCTTGATGACTCTGCCTTAGGTTGTCGTAAACAACTCCTATGCTATACCTCTTTGAGATAACACCATCCATTTCCCATTCATAAGAGTTCAGTCCCTCTATTAGGCTCATTGTCGTGAGATGAGCTTGAAGACTAACCATATTCTCTGATCTTGCAGGCGGAAGAATCCACCTCCCGTTCCTCCACATGGTCGCCAGTGTTGCCAAGGCCGGGATTCCAAGCCTAGTGTTTCCCGCTCCTTGCAGATACGTTTCCAACCTACCAAAAGGAGACCAATTGTCCGTCCAGAACCGACACGCCCTTCCATCTCCAATCCTTAACTTTATCCAGGGGTATAAATCCTCCCTGCTTTTTATCAGTTTATTTGCAAGCCAAGAGTTATCCCTGTGAGTTTTTACTGTCCATAGATTACTCACACTACCATTTAACACTTCGTTTCTGAACCAGGCCACCCACACTGAGCCAGACTGGAAGAAGAGAAGCCAGATGAGCTTCAGACAACATGCCAGTTACATGAGCAAACACTTTTCACCATAATGAACTCTTTTGATCACCATTGCTTAACTTCCACCCAAACCCTTGAGAAATAGTTTAGTTTTTAGTTGGGCATTGAGTGGAAATCCGGTTGTATCACTCGCCTCATTTTTCAGCTCAGGTTCTACTCTAAACAACATTCTCATAATTAAAAAACAACGTTGAAATATGCAATCTAGTATCAACTACAAGCATATATTTTAACGCTGTAAAACTTTCTTAATAACTTGTTGGTCCTTAACATAAGAAGCATGAATCAAAACTTTGAGTGTATCAGATTCACCATCTATGCAATCGTTTATGTCACGGACTGAGAACATACCTAAATACCTAGACGTTTTGGAAGCACTTAGTGAATCTTAGTTGCAGAGAGCTGAAACATCAGTGTTTTGATGTGCTTGTATAACCCATTACCACTGCTCGTCATCTTGCACTCATGGTATACCTTAAGGCTTAAGCTCCAAAATGCAATCACAACTTTGGTTACAATCCAAATCCTAGACATCACATCTCATAATCAGTTAATTCAAAATACTAAAAAGCTGTAATATCTTACAATCGATTCAATCAAACCGTTGAACTCAAAAGTGTTCACAATCTGATGCTTTTCAAGTCCTGGATGATTCAAAAGAACTCAAACTGTTTCTAGAAAACCCAGACGAATCTACTCATATACATGATCTTTCGTTGTATTGCATCTCAGCTTTCGTTATGGCTTTTGATTACCCGAGCAGTAAAACAAACCAAGGAAAAAAATTAGCTGATATATCTTCAGATTAAGGACCCAATCCCATATAAAATCAGACCGATTTCGAAAAATTAATCGAGAAGCTAACTTCGCCGAGAGATGCTTACGGGGTCATGAAAACAGAGCGCGGACACCGAGCCTCTGGTCGTATCGTCATTTTTTCAAGAATGAATGATCAACAAACAGTAAACGTTTGGATTGAATTAACGACGAATCGAGGACGCATATATGGGATTGAGATTGCAGATTTGAAGAAACAGAGAATCGAGAACGGCGGCCATGTAAATTGAGACCTTGAGCTAAGCCACCGTGAGCTTATGGTGGTGTTTCATCTTTCGAGCATCTGAATCTTTCTTATCAGCTTGGAACGATTAGCGAGAGAGAGAGTTTTTTTCAGCTTGGGACGATTAAGCGAGAGAGTGTTTTCTTTTTAAAGATCCAATTCTGATATGTAACTGTTCTCCACGTTCGTGGTATCAAGGAAGAAGAAGAATAAAGGAGGACTTTGAGCGAGAAGAGCGAAAGGGATCAGAGAAAAATCAAGACGAGCTGGTGAATCCTTCTTCTCCTTACAGAAGTTCTTCTTCTTATCCACCACAAATCTGCTCTCTCTAATCCGATTCCGTGGAGAGAGCACCGCCTGACTCGGATTAAGCTTCGATTTCCGATTCTTCTGCGTCCACAAATTGTCGTCGGAGTCGTGCGAAGGAAAATTGATGAAGAGAAGAATTTATCGACATAAACGACGGAGATTGAGCTAAGAGGAGACGGAGATCTGGAATAATCTAAGTCCCTCAAAATGAACAGCATTACACATAATTTTGATTTAGATTTTTTTTTTTTTTAATACGAAAACGACGTCGTTTTGGTGTAAGACGAAAAAAAAATAATAATAATAAAGCCCAAAACGACGTCGTTTTGGTGTAAGACGAAAAAAAAAATAAAAAAAATAATAAAGCCCAAAACGACGTCGTTTTGGTGTTAGGCGGAAAAAAATAAAAATAAAAAAGGAGAGTGCCACATGTCAAAGGCTGGAAATTGTCCAAACCTTATTAGTTATGTAGATCTGATTGTCTATTAAAATATTAAAGGATAAAAACCATAACTACCATATTATCAAGGCACAATTTTGGAAAAAAAAATATAGAAACAAAACCTAGGTTTCTTAACCAACTTTCTCTTATATAAATAGATAGCAATAAGCAAAATCAATCACAATTTAAGTTTATTTTGTTAGACAGTGATTTTTGGATCAAGAGGCCACAATTTGATTATTGTTCCACTCTTCAGATCTGTACGTGTTGGAGTATTGATTTCATTATAATATTTGGTTTCGTGACACGAAGTGGTTGATGGAAGAGACCACGAACTGCTAATTAATTCACTATGGAGCTTTGTGTTTGATAATTGACTTGTTTATGAGGTTCGGTTTCTTCACTGAGTGACTGCTGTTTGTAATCTCTTTTTCACTTGGCTAAGATTGTGTTTCCCTAAACTGGTTCTCTGTAAAAGTCTCTCTTTATCTCAAAGTCCAGAATTCATTTATTTTGAATGTCTTGCTCTGTTTTGTTTTGGTCGGATACTTAGTTCCGAAATTGCAGGACTTTTCTCTTTTTTATTTCCTCTTTTTTTTTCCAGACTTGATATGGATTGTTTTGGGAATTGTTGAGTTGGTGGCTTGGTGCAGAGGATGTTAGAAAGAATATGCGAGAACTGAGAATAGAGAAAAAGAAAACAAAAGAACCGTCAGTTTGGCTTAACAACTGAGGTAGTTATTCTGACATCTGAGTTATTCTGACTTCTGTTTTTTTTTTCCTTCAAATTTTGGTTCATACTCTTTTTTGTTGAATTTTCCAGTTTTTTTTTTCTTTTTTTTTTCTGTTTATAGGTCATCAATCTCTAGAAATCGTCACATGTTTAAAATAATATCGTGTTAGATCATTCATTAAGCCATTACTTGCATCCATAAAAGATGTCAAGTGTTACACAAAAGATTTTCTTCGATTTCAATATGTTTAGGCTTGAAACTATCGCGGATTCTTTAATCGCAATTGTCTATATGCCATGTCTCCCATGAATGCATGTGACAACTATTAATGTTTACTAGATGAAAGCTCGCGCTACGCGCGGGTGGTATTATCACTTTTTATAATTTAATTTGTTTTTTAACTTAGTTTGTCTTAAATTTCAGTGCAAAACATAGAAAAAGATAATCACCTTAACGACCTCATAATTAAACTGACCCAAACTTTATTAGACATTTTCTAAATTATTTATTTATTATATTTTGGTTAGAAAAATTTAGGAGTTTGAATACACTATTTGAGCTATATAATTTTTTTCCTGTAAATTTACAAATATAAAAGTTGATAATATGTTAATATCTAGTATTCTTAAGTTTACAAATACAATGTTTCTCGGGTTACGTGGAGAATTATATTTGCCAAAATTGTTATCAAGTGTCGCTTCAAAGATGGTATATTATATATTCACTTTTTCCAGATACATTGTGTCCAACTACTTATAATATGGAACAGAAGGAGTAATATACATCTTTCCCCACGAGCACACATGTGTTATGAACCATATGCTGAGTTTATTTCCTTGTAATTTATAGTACACACAAACTATAACAACTTATAGTGTAGTCTTAAACATTAGCAGCATCAATCACTTTAAGACTAAAATAGTTAAAACATAAATTAGAGATAAAGAACAAAATTTCACCAAGGTTTTATCGCCGACTGGAGTCTTCGAGGTGTTGGTCATCGCCGGTAAGGAACCGTTGAAGGATGCTGATGTTGAGTGTTCAGACCAAAATCTGGGGGTTATGCGGCAATTCACCACCTTTGACAACCGATTCCATCAAATTAGAACCCTAATCGCAGGAAATTGAGAAGTTGCAACTATAGGTATATAGTCTCGTTTTGTATATAGTCAAAAAATCAATTTGGTCTATTAATTACATAAGCAAAACAGTTAAACTTAAGAAAGGACGATGAGTTGCATGTTTGTGTGGAGAATTGAATAGTTGAAAGTTGAAACGAAAGAAAAACTTTTAGATATGAAAGTAAATAACGCGGAAATTAAAAAAAAAAAAAAAAATTTGGGAGGGCCACCTGTCCACCTCTCCAGAACTGGCGTGATATTGTTACTTCTATCATTTATTTGTTTTTAAAAAATATAGTATTTCTTATTAGGTCTGAGACTTTTACCCGAAACCCGAGCCCGACTCGGAAAACCGAACCGAAACTTAAAATAGAATCTCAAATCCCAAACCTGAAAAAATCCGAAAAACTTAAGGAAACCCCAAAAACCCATAATATAACCAGAACCGAATCCGAACCAAAACTTAAAAAATTTGAACGGTTTCTATATCTCTAAATCCAAAAAATCTGACCTAAATCCGAACCAAAACCCGAAGTCCCAGATTTGAAAACTCATATTTGTATTTTTTATATTTAATAAAGTTTCTATGAAAAATCTTAAAAATCCTACTTTTAAAAGTAGATAGTATATTTTTGTTGTGTTTGTATATGCCGAAAATTCTTTTATAAATTCTTTCATTGATTTTTTATGAACTTACACTATAACATACACATGTTCTTATATAATTTTATTTTACATTTGATGTAAATATGCTAATATTCCGAACTTTTTTAAAAATTAGTTTGCATAATATAACTGACCTTTGATCTTGTTGGCCTATGTTCAAAAAAAACATTGAACATTATTTGCAGAATTTTTTTTTTTTAGAGTCTTTTGGATGCAAACTAAAACCATATGATTTCCAAATACATATTATTTTCATCAAATATCTTCAGAGAAAGCATAAAAGCAATTTCATTAAAATTAAATCTTGGGTGCAAATTAAACCAAATAATCTCGAATTTGATTAATCTGCCTTTTTTTGTTTTACTTGTATGATGTTATGATTATTATTGCCTGTTCTGTAAAAGTAATAATTTTTAGGAAATATTTTTTGGGAACTCGTGTTTTATTCCCTCGTTTTATTTTGTTGTTTTCATTGTGATATTGATGTAGTTCAGTAGTTGCGGTTTTGTTTATTCTTACTAATCAGGTTTAATACGATCATGTAATAGAGTTTGGTACGTACTTTAGGAAACTGTATAACGTTTGTGTTAGTTTGGATGTCTTTCCCATTACATAGATCCCAAATATTTGTTTATGATAGGTGGTTATTTTCTTTTAACATGTATATAGAGGAGTCCTTCTGCTAATCAGGTTGACTTTTTACACCAGAGCAAGTAATAGAGGGTAACTGAGAAAAGTATGTAAGCTTTTAAATCAGAATTTTGATAAGAAATTTCTTTAAGGGATGATGAGAGTACACCTAGTAATTTCATACTATTTAATAAACATAAACTGGCCATGTATCAAATAAGCAAAAATGGACTTGCAGGCAGAAATTTCTCTTTCGATTGCTTGTACTGCAGCCTTTTCATAGCCAACTCCAAAAGCAATACGAAATGATCCTATGACAGATAACCCAAAAAAAGTTCGACATTGGCGACAACACTATGAAGCAAAAACTGATATAATCGGTAAGTAAAATCTTGTCCTTCTCAGCTAGGAAACATGTAAATCAACAAACGAATTCTACGACCAATGTGCATCTGTTATTACCTTCTTGAACCTGGGAAGTAAAGTGTTGCAGAGTCTGAGTAAGTTGACCAGACAGAGTCTTCGTTGAAGAAACTTTTGACCCCATCCTTCTCCAAAGCTTTTCACCTTTCTTTTGCTTTACCTTGAGCTTAGCATTCTCAATAAAAGCGTTTTGGAGTAATTCCTCATGCAAGTATATGATCCATTTATTCGTTCAGCTTCGAATTCTGGCTCATGGATAAAGATCAAGATTTCTATCAACTCTTCTCCACTGTGTTTGTAGACTGATCAGTCTCAATCCAGTCTAAATTCAACCTTCCAATCCTATGTGCCAAGCTCGTATTGTTTACATATCTTGGAGGCTTTTCAGTACCATACTGATGGATGCCATTGTCTATAGCATCTACTGCCTGAAATTGTATAAACATTCACAGTATATGAGATTTCAAGAACTTGACCACCATATGTCACATCAAAACTGCAATATCTTTCTTCTTTAGCAACCTTAATTTGACAACTGTCGCAAAAGCCATGATTTTGGTGACATTCAAAACACACAGCCAGCAACTCTAATTTGTTCTCTGTTGTTCATAGTCAATAGATACCAAAGAAAATATCAACTTACAAAGCAACCTTGATAGAAAGCACTACCTCAATGAAGTTTTGGTACACAGCTAGAAACAATCGATTCACATCCGGATGTGTCTGATCAATTAGCTCCTTAGCATTTATTTCCAAGCCATAGTGCTATAACACAAAAGCATCAGAAGAATTTTCTCTAATTGACCACTAAATCACAAGAAAGTTTCTTCATTTACCTAATAGATAAGCCCGGCACTACTGAGTTTAGTGTTCAACCCATGGCCAAATACTTCAGTGAAGCCTTTACGGTGATGGTCATAACGTTCTCTCTTAGGATCATACACACCTCCAACATCAAGAGCCGCATCAAGCTTATCCAAAACCTTATCACCACATCACGAAATCAAGTAGAATCTTAAGACAGAGCTGATGATGAAATCGCATAGGCATATCCATTACTGCACAAAATTGTAGCTTTACACGCATAAAACCACATAATCGAGGAGAAATCTTCAAATTCCAAAGCTAAATCAACCATTTCTCGGAAATTTCGAAAAATCCCAAATTGAATCCGAAAGACAGAAGATTAGCACACAGATAGGTTCGATTGCGTGGTAAATATAATAACGAGTACCTGATGATCTCTGGTTCGGACGATTTGGGCATTGGTTTAGATGAGAGGGAGAGAAGGGGAAAAAAAAATAGGGAGAATTTTGGAGAGCATGCACAAACCTCATCACAAACGAAATCCTCGGTGCCAACAGCATGAATCGAAGCAACCAAATCCCTCATTGTATGTCTGTCAATGCCACCTTCTTCAATGTATTCATTCAGCATCTCGTCATTCACCAGCCGCCGCGAAATCACACTGCTGCCTCCTCCATACGGCGGTTTCTATTGAAACTTAACCGTGAAATCTCTTCCGCCACATCAAAAGCGCCTTCCCGGTACTCAGGAAGCTCCTCCTCCTCTTTCCTCCCATCACTTCGTCACCTCCTTTCGACATTACGATCCGATCGGGAACCATCCTGATATTCCTTCCCTCGCATATCGAGCTCTTAAGCGTCTCACTGTAGAAGCACCGAAATCAGCTTTTTTCTCCTCCTTTCGGTCTGAGGAAATCGATTCTCCGAGTGAACCCGTTTCCGAAGGAGCCACTGGATAGATTATTCTGCGGCGGCGTCCATGGAAGGTAGGAAGGTAAGATCGGCCACGGTTTCTGAATCGCCGCTATTGGAGTTAATCGAATTTATATTCAAAATGTATACCGGTTACACTAAACCAAGTGGTTAGGCTAATGTACCGAGTGTATAAAATCAATCCGTTGTAACAAGATTCATTCAATACAACAGAAACTTTTCTTCCATTTTCTCTTCTTCTCTCTCGATTCCTTTTCTCTAATATGGTATCAGAGCTTCGAGCCTTGAAAGCTCGATTAGATCCGTTTCTTTCTCTCTTTTTTTGACCTTGATTCGATCGTTGATTCTCACGATCTTATCATTTCTTCGTTTTGCAATAGTTTTCCGGTCATTCCGCCGGATTTCGTAAATATCGTGATTCATCTCTCAAATCGAGCTTCGTCTTCGTTGTTATAATGGTGATCGGCCGGAAAGTAACCCGTCGCACCAACAGGACAACTTCCTCAGCTCGCAAAACTACAACTCGCGAAGATCGCGATTCTTCTCCGGAACCTGCGTCTCCGTTGACTTTCACTATATCGCCGGATAGTGTTCATTCGCCGTACTACCTTACCAGCGGTGACAATCCCGGCCACTCTATTATCTCTGAGGTACTCGATGGAACCAATTACGATAACTGGCGTATTGCTATGAACATCGCGCTTGATGCTAAGAACAAATTAGCTTTTATCGATGGATCTATTGCTAGGCCTAGTGAATCTGATCAGCTCTTCAGGATTTGGTCTAGATGTAATTCGATGGTGAAATCATGGATTCTCAATTCCGTTTCAAAGGAAATTTACAAAAGTATTCTCAGATTCAATGATGCTTCTGAAATTTGGAAAGATCACTCGACTCGTTTCCACATCACCAGTTTACCGCGATCTTATCAACTCTCTCAACAAATTTGGTCTCTGAATCAAGGATCAATGGATCTCTCCACCTACTACACCAAATTGAAGACGTTGTGGGATGAGCTCGACGGTACTAGTTGTGAGAAAACATGTCATCATTGTGATTGCTGCAAATCTATGGAAAAGAAGGCAGATCATGCTAAGGTCATTAAGTTTTTGGCTGGTTTGAATGAATCTTACAATGTCATTCGCAGCCAGATCATAATGAAGAAGAACGTTCCTGCTTTATCTGAGATCTATCACCTCTTGGATCAAGATCATAGCCAGCGTACTATTCTTCCCGTTCACAATGCCACTGCCTTCCAAGTGACAGTTCCAGATGCTTCTCCTCCTGCCTCTGTGAATGCAGCTCAGACGAATTATCAGCCTCAGAAGCAGAACCAACGAGTATGTACTCATTGTGGTTACACTGGTCATACTGTGGATACTTGTTTCAAAATCCACGGCTATCCACCTAATTTCAAGCATAAGAATCAGAAATCTGTGCCTGAAAAGCCTTCTTCGATCACCAAGCCTCCTCAACAATCTCGTCCCGTTGTTGCTCAGGTTGCGATTCCTTCAGTTGACACCGTACCTGAGAAGTTCACTCAGCTGTCTAAAGATCAGATTCAGGGAGTCATCGACTACTTCAATGCGCAGCTCCACTCTTCTGTCAATCAACTTTACGATGATACTCAGATTCCCGGAGGTACAATCACTACACTTCCTGGTATGGCATTCTCTTCCTCTACGTTACACTTTGTGGGAGCCTTGAGAGCCACCGGTGGTGTCTTGAATTCTGAGTCTTGGATCATTGATAGTGGCGCAACGCACCATGTTTGTCATGACAAACGTTTGTTCTCGATGTTATCAGAAAATGTTCATTCCTCTGTGACTCTACCTACGGGTTCTGGTGTTCAGATCACAGGAATTGGCAGTATCAAACTCTCTGAATACATGATTTTGAAAAACGTGTTATATATCCCCGATTTTCGACTGAATCTCCTCAGCATCAGTCAACTGACTAAAGATTTGGGATATAGAGTCTCATTTGACAGTGTTTCTTGTGTGATACAGGATCCTATCAAGGGATTGATGATTGGTCAGGGTGAAGAAGTGGCTAATCTCTATGTCTTGGATGTTGAGTTTGGATTGCAGCAGTCTTCTCAACAATCTAGTTTTCTTTGTAATGCTGTTGTTGATTCGGAATTATGGCACAATAGACTTGGCCATCTGTCAGATTTCAAAACGGATTTTGTCACTGATGTACTTGGAATCAAAAAATAAGAATAAAAATCGTTTTCCGTGTGCTATTTGTCCCTTAGCTAAACAGAAACATCTTTCTTTT